AGCAGAGTCCACGCTGAGCAGGGAGCTCAATGTGGGGCCTGATCCCAGGACTCTGAGATCATGACCTGAGCTAAAACCAAGAGTTGGACACCTAACTGACTGCACCACCCAGGCACCCCAGGATGAACGCTTTTAGGAAGGACAACTAGGTAAGGAACCACAGAGGAAAGAAAGAAGGGATTATAACAGTTCTCTCCCTAAGTGTGGTAAGACCTGGTATTAAGTGTGCTTTATACTAGGGACTTCAAAGCACTAGGAGAGCCAGGACCTCTGAAAAAGGGGCCTGAGAAAATAGATGTTTAGGTCTGGCTCTGGTCCAGACTCTGAAGGTGCTGTGAACTTGACAAGTGGGTGTCTTACATAAACCAGTCATTCACTAGGGAGGAAAGCAGAGAGATTATTAGGAAAAGGGCATGGACACCTCCACAAAATGTGCCTCTGACTGGAGTAACTCACCTGCTGGGTGTCCCAGAAACCCGTGAGCAAACCTAATGTGGGTACAGATCTATCTGAGGACACACACACACACACACACACACACAAACATATAGTAAAGAAATGCATAAGGTGAGATTCAGAGAAGAGGGCAAAACATAGAAGAAGAGGGAATTAATGATCATAAAGGCTGTGATTTATGTTTATTTATTTTTAAAAAAGATTTTATTTATTTATTTGTCAGAGAGAGAGACAGAGAGAGCACAAGCAGGGGGAGCAGCAGGCAGAGGGAGAAGCAGGCTCCCCGTTGAGCAAGGAGCCTGATGTGGGACTCCATCCCAGGACCCTGGGATCATGACCTGAGCTGAAGGCAGACGATCAACGGGACCAAGCCACCCAGGCGTCCCTGTGATTTATGTTTAAAGAAAGGAATGTGTATTGGCGTCACACTGCTTGGGTTTGTGTACTGGCTTTACCACTTACTAGCCATGGGGAGAGTTATAAGCACTCTCTGTGCCTTAGTTTCCTAGCCTCCCTACAGTACAGGGATAATAACAGCATAAACTTCATAGAGTTAATGAGGATTAAGAGAGTTAAAATATGTAAAGTACTTAGAACATTGCCTGTGATCCCTTCTTCCTTTCAGCTACTTGCATTTTTTGTCCCCACCTTCGCCAAAGGATTGACAACAACAACAAAAAAGATGAAATTAGTGCTAATATGTTTTACTTCTTGTCAATCACATGTGGCAAAAGGTCTGATGAATTTCAATTTTAATAAGACTTAAGGATTGCTCTAAGTCTTCACTTGACTACCTCATATTGTGTTCATATTATCACTGTCCACCATTTCCATAAATAATTTAGACTGGGTTGCCTAACATTTTAGAAAAAAAAATATTTGAAGTAGAAAACTAACAGATGGGTAGAGCTATTTTGAATAAACACAAGGGGAAAAAGAATTCAAAAGCTGCTATACTTATGGCCAAATAAGAAATTCATATTAGAGAGAAATCAAAATACAACACAAGACTATTATGCTTATGAATGGATTTAAAACACAATTAAAACCCTTAAATAAATACTATATTAAATATAAAAATAAAATACAGAAAAACTAAGCAGTTTTGCTAAAGCATGGAGCAATACAAAACAAACAAAAAACCAAAAGGATAAAAAGTTGAAATGACTTTTAATTACATATAGTCAGAACATTTTCAAACACATATAAAGAAAAAGAGAAGCTGAAGTCAAGCATTTGTTATGTCAAAGAATAAGGAATATGTCAAAGAATAAGGAAGAAAACAGAACTGAAAGATTTAATACTATTCATTTTTCCTAAAATGTAATCTAGAATTACGAAAAAAAAGTACTTATTTTTAAAGAAGGAAACTATAAAACCTAAACTTTAAATATTCAGTTGACTTTTACTAAATAATGTAATCTTGATAAAAATTCAACTTAAATGGAAAGTTAGAGAGTAAATGGTTCAAGAAAGAGGATCCATACCAATGTACTCATGATATTCAATAAGTGGAAACTCAACAGAGCTGTGTAAGGACCATGAAAAGCACTCTGGGCTCCCATTGTTTCAAGGGTAGAAGGCAAAGTAGCTACCCTGGACAAGTTTTCATGAGTAGCCTGACTTTTCTTGGCTATGATACTTGCAAACATAATTATGATACCGATTTAAGAATACTCAAAGGAAAGGACTGCCTAATAGTCAGAATGTATTTGCAAGGCACAGATCTTGCTATGCTAATACAATAGCTTTTGTGAGATAACAGAGAATGGATAAAAGGAGCTGGGCAGATAACATTTATCTACATTTTAACAATGCTTTCAACCCTGTGCTGCATATCAGCATGCTGAGAAATTAAGAGATGAACTGTATAAATGATGTGATAGAATGAATTACTAGTGGCTTATAGATTGGAAATACAGGATTATTACTCTTTCAAATGCAGAAATATATATACATATACATACAGATGTATCTCAGGTTTCAGTTTGTAGCTAGACTAATTATATGAAATAAAATAAATGTAGCTTATACGTTAATCATTTTCAGTTAATTTGATAGCACTCAAGTATCTAGACAACACGTAAGAAAAAATTTTTGGAAGCAAACAACAACAAAGAATGAAATCACTGTCATATAGGTTCTTTTACTAGTAGAATTCTTCAACATTTGTGGTAATAATATTCCTATGACTTTTGAATGCACATAAAATTCAGTGAGCTTAGGTAAAGATTTGATAAATCCGTTAGCAAATATTGATAGTATTTTGAAATTCCTTGTTTTCTTTTTGAATTGCTGTAATTCTTCAGCGAAATAGCCTAATGGATGAGGTCTCATCTTAGAAAAGAGACATAACAAAGTTCAGTTACACTTTCAGTGAGGTTATTTAAAATCCAGCTGCAAACTTAAGTAATTTAAGCATGGATTTAAAAGAGCGAAGGGCAAACTGGTCATTCATTCATTCATTCCATAATTAAGAAACTGAGTATTTTTTATGTGCTAAGCATCCTGGATACTAAATCCTTCACAGTCCTAGAGTTTATACTCTTGTCAGGATGACAGACTTATAAAGATGCTAATTAAAACAGCTCTAATTAGAGGGATGTGCTTTTCAAACACTTCCCAGGTACTGAAATAAAAAGGTTACTGTATATCACAGACTAAGTGCAAGGTCAGTTTGACTTCCTGAATGTTCAAAGGAAAGAAATACTTTCAAAAGAACTGCAATATAATGTTAAAGCACCTGTAGTTAAGAAATTCTTAGTATCTTTTAAAATGTTTCGAAGTGATTTAATGAAAAAAAAGAGACTATTATAAATATCAATTACTGCTATATAAATGAGGAGTTCCAAAGTATTTAAAAAGTTTGTCTTACTAGGGCAAGCATTCATATTATATATTTTTCATAATAATAAATCACCTAGCAATTTCAATATCTGTGGTTACCACATCAATGCCATCCTTTTTCAACTGCTCATGACTCCAATTAAGATTTGAATTAATGGGATTAGACTAATAACTATTACAACATATATTCACCCTGTTGGTTGGTAATAAGTACCACACTTGTAATTTACAGTACCACAGTGTTTATTATGTTATTAATTAGTTATATTGATCAGAATACCACATAACATAGCAGTACTAAAATATTATAATTTGCTTAGGCTACTTTGCATCTAGTACTATATCTATTTTTTCTATGGGTGACCATAAACATCATTGAAATCAGATAGCTTGTTTCTACTAACAATGCCAAGATGTGCACTTCAGAAGGCCAAAAGAAGAGAATTCTACTGAGAATTCTTGCCATGGGAGTTCACTTGTTTTCTTACTATGCCATAAAATTAGTTGATCTAGGACAAAAGCATAAAGTCAGGACTTATGGGGGTCAAATAGGGTAAGAGCACTATCCATTTTATGTATAAATTAGTCCACATTTAGTTTGAATCTACTTATTTGTAGGGTTCTGCCACCTAAATCTAGTTTTTGTTGTTGGTGGTGATTTTTCCTTGCTTTGGGGCTGTGGCTCTAACACAATACTGCTTTTAAGCATTCCAAACTATCACACTCAGAGGTTTTAGGTTTAACAGGATCTCAGCCTCCACTGTAAGTTGGGAGTGCAATAATTTTTTTTTTTCTGGTTGTCACAGTAAAAGATGTATTAAGATAAAAATTACAATTTTCAGATTTAGACAATAGCACTCAAAAGCCAATATTTTTGGAACACATTATCAGGCTTCAATTTCTTGAAAGCTCACAGAGGAAATAGTTACTCTGCTAATTAGCCAGTAAAGTGACATGATTGTCAGTCCAAGTGGATCATCAACTTAACTCACTGAGAAAGATTTGCCTCGATCTTGCTTTAAGCACTGTATTTACAACAGTATATCTAAAGCCTCTGTGAAGGAAAAATGTAAAATATTCACTCACATAAATCATAGCAAACTAAAGGGGAAATAAAAATTTGTTAGGGGAGATAAAAATGTATTAGACTTCTTTGTATAATATTTTTGGGTGGTGGCTTCAATGTTATTAACAGAAAATAATCTATAAAAATTCTGACATGAATTTCTTAATTTGAATTATGATAATTTCTGACATTTCATATTTTACTGTTCCCTTTTAACAGCTTTTTAAAGTATTGTTGACAAGGGGACTTCATTACTGCTAAAATATTTCAAAATGTACACATAAATTCAATCCATTTCTATGACTGATTTTGATAATTTGTTAACTTTATAGTTAAAAATCAGAAGGAAACAAACCAGCACCAGCTCTACTTCATAATTTTACATCTTCCCAGTATCCCCAAAATATATACTAAGATGCTTATAAACTAATCTATGCTAGCAAACATTAATTAGTACCCAAGACATTGAATATAGTGTGATATTATGTCAGAGTTTAGGTTCATGAAGTAGCATGAGGTATCCCCCGAGGCATTTGATTAGAATTTATGGTTTATCAGGGAAATGAAGACAATCACGCCAAATAGTGATTCCCCAAAAGAATGACCACTTTGAAACAAAATGAACACATGCCTTTACCTTCCTCCTTTCTTCTCTTTGCTTCTTCTTCATTTCTTTCTTTTGCTTTCAGTGCTTCATCAGCTTTTGCTGAAACAAAAACAATGGAATTTCTGTACTCATAAAACACTGAAAATATTGGGGAAAGGGAAAAGAAGTTCACTGAATATTTTTTTATGATATAGAAGAAAAAACCAAAATGGTTGAAAATCTGTAATATACCTTTTACATTTATTCAGAATATTTAAAATATTTATTTAGAATCTCTGAAGCTTAGTTCAAGATAATCTCTGTACAAAAAAGAAAATGAAGTTAAGCAACATAAAATTTAAATGATGGTATATGAATTGGGAATAACTGTTGGTCATTAAAAGTCATCTGATTTTGTCAGTGAAATGCATCTATTTTAAACTTTGGACGAAAGTTCTTAAGCTACAATTCACATTTTAAATATAAGAAGCTTGCAATATCTTTGGAACAGTATCAAATTAGGTAGCATATTATTTTTTTTTCATTGCATATCATAGTAGCAGTTCTTTATTCATGTTATGACAGCATTTGGTAAAAAGAATCTTTTTCCCTCTAGAAACCTCTTCCCTTATTACTTAATTATCTACTAGTTGCTCAACTGCAGGGGTTTTCAAACACTTTACTACAGATGTTAAAGAAGATTAAAAATATACAGCACAGTAACAAGGGACTATCAATATACTCTGTAAATTAATTAAATTTCTGTTCTAGCACATCATTTATTCCAAAGCATTAATGTCTCAAAGGAGCGATTCTCCTTTATTGCCAGCTCACTGCCTGATGAGTGAACTAAGTGAAAATAAGTCTCTAATAGCATTATAGTTGATGAAATATTAAGTTAAAAAAGTATTGCCTCGTCAAAAGAAAAAGAATCAAACTGTGCCAGCATTAAACTTTGGATGAGCCTTTATTATAATGATAACAGCAATGTAAACTGTGATTTAAAAAATAAACATGCTCTTCAGTTTTTTTGCTGTATATATTATTCCTATGCAAAGTCAACATATTCTTTAGAAGTATGAAACCTGGCTTAAAAGGGGAATTAAAAAAAATACACACCACATATATAACTATTTTTCTTCAGTTTTATTTTTCTTCACCATCAATACTGACACTTTCTTAAAATATAAAACTTATATAATAGTACTGTGAAGTGCTATATCCAATTACTAGACATCTGTTTCCATTTACAAGCTTTAATACATACTTAGACTGCATTTAAAGTCATGAAATATTAAAACTTGTATGCCACTCTGTATCATTGCAAGAATCTATTAAATTAGATAATAAAAACAAACCACCAGTAACTCTAAAGACTTTTACTTCATTTACACTTTATTCTCCCTGGTAGAAGGACAAGGATAATAGAAATTCCATTTAAATTCAATTTTGGTTATATGTGTAATTGTAGATATACCCCTTGAGTCATGTAAAATGCTCAGCTTATGTTTCTTTCAAATTATCCCGCTCAGATTCACATTCTACTCCTTACAACCATCTTCAATATGTATTAGCCGAGCTCATTAGACTGAAATTTAATAATGCAAACATCAGGTGGATTTCAAGAACCTCCATTAACAACGTAAGATGGATTGCTTATATATAGCTCTTGGGCCAACTGGGCACAATTTAAATTCAATAAACTACCCTGCCTAAATCTGATTTATCTATTTCACTATGCCAGTTTGTCCTTTCTTACTGATTTGTTGCTATACATGGGCAATTCATTGGAATATTGTTTTATATGTTTCCTTTTAAACTGCAAATGGCTCTTGTGCTGTGGTTAAATATTTTATGTAATGGAGCTTCATACTGTCAATCAAGATTTCCAAGTATGTGTGTGTGTCGTGTGTGTGTATAAATAAAAAACACCTCTTTGAATTATGTCAAAATAGCATAGATAATAATTTAAAAAGCACACATTTGAAAATTTTATCAATAATCAACATGCTCTCTACAAAGAATCTGAATGAATTCACTCAAAGAAAATTCATTTATTCAAATTGAGTCATTAGGATAAATTCCTCATTGATTATTAAGGGAATTTGGAAGAAACTTTTTTCTTTCCAACTGCTTTCTGATATTATTTAAATGTGAATAGGGAAGCATGTATAATCATTTACACATGATTTGGTTTATCCTAAATTTTTTTATATTCTCTAAAAGATGGCAATCCCACTTTACAGATGGGGATACTGAATCTCATTAGATGTACCACAAAATTTGATATCAAAGAACACTACTGGTAAGTGGTAAGATGTATTCTTATGATTCATGATCATTCTCTTTGGACTTTACAGCAGGATCTACTATAAAGCACACCATTTACCAAAAATACTTACATCTTCCACTAACCTTATATACTAACCTTATATACAACTTCCAATCCCTTGGCTCTTCCAAATTCCCCCAGACTTGACAGTCCTCTCCAGGCTCTGCTTCCTTCCCTACCCAACCTGAACCCCAAGACAACCATTTCAATTCCACACATATTAACACCCTCATTGCCCTGATTCCTTTGTTGTTTTGCCAAGCTGCTATCAACACATCTAACCATTTTTTTTTTCCTATTTTTGCTTCAGAGCCTCCCTACAAAACAGTATCTAAATGTTATTGGCTCTACGAAAAACCAATGATTTAGAAGTTAACATGGATCCTTCCACGTTGCTCATCTTTCATCAACATCCAGAGTTGGTTTCCATTCTCCTTTCTCAGAATTTACTAAGCTTTCTCCACAACAAGTGCCAATAACCTCACATCAGCTTCCTTGACTCATATTTTTTCAGCCTCACTCCCATTCACCGCCAAACTTTTATGTTTATCAATCCTTACCTTTTCCTTGATTCAGAAAGCAAATCCATTTACTTGTGCTTTAAAACCTAAACCTTTCCATATCCTTTAGGGTTTTTTTCTGTTTCTTAAGATTCAAACTCACTCTTTCTTTATTTTCAGACTATAAATACATTCAAAGTCTCACAAATCCTTACAATATTTACTCTTCCAACTAAGTTACTACTTTCTCTTGTTCCTGTTAGATTTTGTCCCCACAGCTTTTGCAAAATGGCCCCTAAAAATTCTATAATAGCCAAATCTACTGGTTATCTCAGTTTTATCCTTACACTCTCCCCTTTTTAAAAAAAAACTGCTAACCTGGAGTGCCTGGGTGGCTCAGTCGGTTAAGCGTCTGCCTCCGGCTCAGGTCATGATCCCAGGGTCCTGGGATTGAGTCCTCATTGGGTTCTCTGCTCAGCCGGGAGTCTGCTTCTTCCTCTGCCCTTCCTCTGCTTGTGCTCCCCCCCCACTCAAATAAATAAATAAAGTCTAAAAAAAAACCCAAAACGTTAACCAACCACATCTCTGTCAAAAATATTTGTCAACCTTTTTTGGCTGTGGTCTCTTTTACCCACTTTTTACTTCTCAGAGTTCTGTTCTTAGGCAGTCTATATAAGGTTTAAATGTAACCCATAAGTCTATCACACGTAGCTCCATTTCTGGCCCCTCTCCTGATCATCAGAACTCTTTTTCCAATTACTTCCACATAGATACCTCCACATAGATATTTCAAAATCATGTCCATGATTGAACTCATAACCTTTCCCTTAAACCAGATCCTCTTCCCTTGGTATTTCCTGTTTTCTCTCAGGTTGGAAATCTTTGTGACACTCCTCTCCAAATCTTATCCTAATGCAGTACATCTAATTGGCTAGGAGTTCCATCAGCTTCTACTCCACACATTAGCTCTAGAATTCATCCAATCCTTTCCATTTTCATTGCCAATAATCACGTTCGGGGCCTTATGTCTTTTCACTTTGAATAAGAAGGGAGTTCCTATTTGATCTCTGTACTTTAAATCCTATTCCTTCCAATGAATCCTTTATATTACCAACAGAGCAAGGAATGTATTCCTTGTTTTGTATCCCTAGCAACAAGCAGAGTATCTAGAACATAGAGATGTTCAATAATTGTTAAGTGAATGAATGTACCATTCTAAAACACATATATGATGTTACTCCCAGCTAAAACTACCTCTGAAGGCACCCTGTTGCATGTATATACAAATCCCATCTCCTTATACCATCTAGAGCCTTTCACTGTCTGATCTCAATGTAACTTTCTAGCGGCCTCATCATTCACCACTCCTCCTTCATTGCCTCAGGGATGCATGGCTTTGCTGGGCCACACTGCCTTTTGTTTATATTGTCATGCTTTTGTTCTTGCTGGTGTGCCCACCTCACTTTCTTGCTGAGAAAATCTTATCAGAAAGTTTTAGAAATGTCACTCTCTTCTATGAAACCTCTGATCAATATCCCTTGTTTCCAAGTGGATCTGACTGCTCCCTCCTTTCTTCTTAGGCATTTTAATACCTTCCTTATGGAATGTACAACACCTTGTTCCTTCATTAGAGGAAATAGCCAACTCCTTGAGAGGATGGCACATAGTAGGCATGACAGAAATGTTGGCGTTCTCTTCTTCTTAAGTCTTTAGCCAGCCTACATATTCTAGTTTCTCCCTTGAAGTTCAGTGTGGCCATTCATTTACCCGAGTTCAAGCCAAGGAATGTGAGCATAAATAATGTGTATGTTTCCACACCCAGCCTATAAAAAGCTCCCATGTAATCCTTCTTCTCTTTCTTTATCCAAATGACCCACAGAGCATGGGCCCAAAGAAGAAAGGAATCTGGGTTACTGAATTTCTGCAGAAAGTAGTGCTTTCCTGAGGACTTGCATTACACTGTGATATGAGCAAAAAAGAAGTTTATATTGTCTTAAAGAAGCTGAAATTTTGGAGTTGCTTATTACAGCAGTTTGTGCACCTTGCCTAATACATGAAGTGTTTGATGAATGTTTCCTAAACAAAAAATTAAAAGGATTTTGAAAGTCAACACAAATACGCTGTTCCTTCCAAAGTGAAGTCTCCTTTCAGAAAAGAAATCCTCTATGGCTGTTCATTTGAATGATGATCAGAAAAGTAGCTGCAGAGGTGGTGTGGGGCTAAACAGAAAAATTATTCAGTATGTGTAGTTAGCAGCATATTACCAGAATTTATTCTCATCTTTACTA